AATATTAAGTAGATCCCATGCTACCAATAATATATTCTACCATTTAGTTTTTACTTAATCACATGATGTGGAGGTGGTGTTACAGGGCTTTTATCTTTCAGGGGTGCTTATGTCATTATAATACTTGAATATGTCCCTGAATACAGCTTGGTTCCTAACATATCCCCAGCCTGCTGATTGGACACTGAAGGAGCAGCAGCACTTTGATAAGGTAATCACTCTGCTCACTCCTTCAGACATCAAACACTCACAGAGTTATTTTAAAAAGTGTGAAGAGTTTGGAGAAGTGAACAATCTAGGACAACATAGCTGAACTGGAAAGTGAGTTGAATTGGAGAGTTTTTCCAGTTCAGCTATGTTGTCCTAGATTGTTCACTTCTCCTGCCTTCTCCAAACTCTTCACCCTTTTGTGAATAACCCTGTTAGTGTTTAATTGACAGTACTGTGCAGTATAAAAGAGCATGACTGGCTCACTGTTCCCCCAATGGGAGTCTTGATAATATAGGATATTGATGTAAAGACGGAATGCAGGTACTTGATGATTGCAGGAACTATTTTGATGATTTTATCATTTAAAAAAAAGTAAATATTTGGATTAAAAATTGTATTCAACCTGAATTTCTGCTCAAGTGTCTCAAAGTAAACCTGTCATAGTAGAAACATGGATGATTCTATTATTGGCCTTTGCTGACCTCTCCTACTGAAAATGCTCATTGCCCGGATTTTTTTGTATGTTGAGTCATTGACACAACTAGTATGCAGATCGGGATTTCGGACTTATGTCTGACTAGGTCTAGTGATTGACAAAGTGCTGAGCATAATAGCCAGTGAATCTTCCAGCAATAGCAGCATTTCTCTGTCTAGATATCCCTTTAGAATCTGTTGTATGTCTTTGGGGTTCCCTCGTTTAGTTTAGTCCATGGTGAACTTTTAACACTGCATTTGTTTCCAAGCACAAGTCTCTGCTTTCCATTGTGATTTAAACATCTGTTCTAAATCAGCAGTGCGTAATGAATCTTTTGCTTACAAAATGTCACATAACTGTGTTTATTGGTTGAGACATACAGAATCGTAGCTTAGTGATCCTGATTGTCATAACAGGTAGTTGGTCATGGATTACTGCGCAAAATATCCTGGGATATTACACAATACTGCCTTCCTTTGGGAATGCCTCAAAATTAGCACAGTGCCATGCCTTACCATGGCACAGGCAGGGTTTCTGATATAAAGAGGGCTCCTGAAGTGAAGGGGGGGGGGGGGGGTGCCTTTTTATGTGAAGGCAGGGAATCTGATGTAAAAGGATGACTCCTACTATAAGAGTGGGGAGTCTAGTATGAAAGAATGGAGCTCCCGTTGTAAAGGGGGACTCTGATGTGAAAGGCAACATTCTAATGTGAAAAAGGGGGGCTCCTGATTTGAAGGGGGGACATTGAACCCCATTATGTGTGTGGTCCTCCTTTAAAATCCATACCGAATCTTAGGGGCAACCTTTATTTGTATGTTTGTATCAGTTATCTTACTGTTTTGTTTTTTACGCTTTTCTTTTTGTTTTATTATTTTTGTCCTGTTTTAGACAATGTTCAAAAATCTTTATTAACTATGTTTAAAAGTAAAAATCCATACTAATTTTCTGAAGCTAACTCTAACCCAAATTGGTAGCATGGGATCTACTTAATATTCGAAGCAACTTATCAACTGTGCAGACCACCAAACAAGAAAAAGAGGGAACAGTTTATTGTGTTCTAAACTAATAAGAAACAACAAACAAAACAACAAAGAGCGCTCTCGGATGGGGACTCTAACTAAGTGGTATGCAGCTCTGAGAAACAGGAGGAGGAACCTGCAATTATTACAACTGAAAAAACACAAAAGGGCACAATGACCTGGGAGGTATGTAATCACACACTGGAAACTAACTGTCTCTGCAAAAATGCCAGGAAATTTAGCACTTACATGCGAGTCCAGGGACCAGAGAGGTGGCGTTTGGAGAAGATCGAGGTGACCAAGGTGTGTACCTTTACATTGCTGGTCCACATGTCAGGAGGTTGCCCATCCAGGATGGAGAGTGCGGGGCTGTGCGGGGCTGTGAACGGAGGGTGATGGAAGAGCGGGAGCTCCGTCCGTGTCACTGCTCAGTCCATGGTGAAGTCCTAAGCCTGTTGGTCCGGATGGAGCGGCGTGCAGGTCCTCTCAGTGGCGGTGGAGGGGTGCTGTCAAGGCGGCAGGCAGTCACCTCAATGGAAGTGGTGAAATCGGGGATCTCGAGGGAGCAACGCGTTTCAAGGAATGCCTCTTTGTCAAGCTCAAACAGAAACAGTATTACAGTGGCGGAATCTGCCGGTTTAAATATGACAGCTGGGCGGAGCTAAAAACAATAAGCGGCAACCCCCGCAGTTAAAAGTGAAAACAGGGCTACTAGATGTAAACTTGTATTTGAAGGCTCAGTGCAAGACTGAACCTGAGCACTGTCACTCACAGCCACATCCACAGTTGCTCAGTCGGACCGAACGCCGCAGAGTCCTTCCCACACCGCATTGATTCCCCGTTTACCTAGCAGTGTCACGGACGGAGCTCCCGCTCTTCCATCTCCCTCCGTTCACAGCCCCGCACTCTCCATCCTGGATGGGCACCTCCTGACAGTGGACCAGCAATGTGAAGGTACACACCTTGGTCACCTCGATCCTCTCCAAAGGCCGCCTCCTCTCTGGTCCCTGGACTCACATGTAAGTGCTAAATTTCCTGGCATTTTTGCAGAGACAGTTAGTCTCCAGTGTGTGATTGCATACCACCCAGGTCATTGTGCCGGTTGCTGCTGCCACACTACTGGTAAGCATAAAGCTAGGGCCGGATTTTGACTATTGGATCTTGTAGCCATACGGTGTTTGGTGCCTGAAGTAACATGCTAACTGCTCCATCTTTTCATCTGAAGAGTTCTAGATTGTATCTGTATATGGCCTTCTGTATATTAGGAAACCTTGATAATCAAAAATCAATTTGCCATATAGAGAGTAGCAGACAAGTAAAAAGAGGATGAGTAAAGAGCTCTCATTTTGTAGCACTGCCATGCAGAAAGCAGCACCACAAAGAACATACATAGCAGCATTTCAACAAAACAAAGCAATGTTATTTAACAGGAAATAAAATATGGATATTTAATATGTACAACACACTCTACCAATATATTTGCATTTTGAAAAGTAGAGGATAGCTGCAGGTAAAGGGCAGGTGGGGGTGAAGAGAATGGAGTTATCATGTGGTTACTAAGAGTCTAGTACATGAGTTCAATACTGGCGCTTAGTAAGTATTGTATTACTCCATTTATCCTCTTTATATTTTGGCATATGTATCTTGTATATGTAGGCGTTTGCTCAAGCAAATCTTCACTCAAACATTTCAGAATGGACAACTGTTGATCAGAGACAAATCAAGGCAAAATGGGGCCCTAGACAAGGTGGCAGCTATGACTGACATTACAGGCATGGCCCAACCCTTCAGACACCAACTGCCTGTCTGAAAGTACACCCCCCCACCCGAGAAGTGACAGGCAGATGCGCAGCTTTGTCCCGTTGCACTATTACCTGGTTTACTGAAGGAGCATGAAGGTTGGTAACTCTTTGATGAGCTCAGTAAGTTCTACCTACTAAAAGATTAGCAACAACTCCATTTAAAAGTGATGAATGCTGATGAAATCACTTACAATGAATGGTGCTCCTTGAAGTTTAAAAGTTTTAGTTTCCCGCAGCTGGTCCCGAGCACTGACCCTCATATCCTGTTCTAGGGTGGCTCCTTCTTTCCCTTGCCACCCTTGTGTGTGCCAGTAAGCGGTTCGTGTTTCCACAAACATATATGCACAGCAAGACAAGCGATTACCCTGTTCCCCCGCTCCTCCATTCTACTTCCTCCCTGCTCCCTTCACCAACCTAGTAGATGTCCCTTGTGATATTTTACTGGACAGGAAGTTCAGGAAAGCAGAGCTGGCAATAAATATTGAGAGTTAAATACTACTTTAAGTTAAACTAAATAAATGTAGAGAAGTTATGGTGTTTGTTTTATAGCATTAGAAGGACTGGTTTCACTAATTGCCTGTTACCCCTGTTTAAGGAACCTATTACATTAAAACTGTTTACATTTCTCATGCCGTCCTATTTCCTCTGAGAGGTACATAAAAGCACTTATGTCTGGCACACTGTGCTGTCTGTTTCAGACACCATTGTTTTGCAGCTGCACATTCTTACCGTATTCTAGAAGACTCAATAATCTTGACATAAAGAGATTAGAGGGACTAAGTACATAGCTGAAACTTTCAAGGGTATAAATAATAGCAACAAAGATTAGGATGGAATTACTTTCCATAATACCTACAATTCCAGAACAAGGGTGTGTACCTTGACATTTTAATGAGAACCTAAATTCCAAAACTGAATATCTGCTGCCTTATGCCAAACATCTAGAGATGCTAACTGTGCCTGATTAGTACCCCAAAGTTGACTTTTTGTCTTAAACCAACTTTAACACCATGTTCCACCCATATGTAGGGTGTAACCTGGAAGATGGTGCCATTCCACAGCCTCTCACCCTCAACTGCCTCCCTATCCCCACCTACCTGAATCGTAGAGTGCTTTTTTGCATTGTTTACCAGCGTACCTTGCACTGTGTATCCATGACCTTCCACCCTTCACCTTTCAGGAAGGCTATATACACATGTAGTATTCCTGTTCACTTTCCGTACTGAGCATACCTCCCAGCTCAAACTTTGCTGGAGAGCCAGTACATTATCAGTATCTATTATTGTTTATGGTACCAGAAGTTAAAGTAGTATTTCATAAATGATTTTCATATAAAAAATGTTTGATTATCCATGAACAATATGAATCTTTATGAAGGGGTTGATGAGTTGAAGACTTTGGGGACCCCACTTTATAAAAAGGTGAAGCAAATTACGAAAAGTCAATATTAAACAAATTTGATAAAAAGATGCAATAAAATGTATTTTCACTCACCACTGCTCCACCACTTTTTCCCATTAACTATGTAGCTATCTCCATCTCTCTGGATACTGCACTCCATGTTGGTGGCATCACTGGAAGCTACATCAGGCTCTACAACAATGAAAACACACTTTTGAATATTGACCTGGTATCTTTTACAAAGGCTTTTAGGCCCTTAGCAGCTGCCCATTTACAAGCAACAGGCTTATTTGGATGCTGCAGTCTTTTCTTGTTTACACCATGACACGTGCACATTACCGCATGTGTTTCTGTGTGTGGCTATAAGGCAGCCTGCTTATTTTGAATAAGCTGCAATGCATCTGAATTCATTAAAAAAAGCTCCTGCCCATCTGTGGATTATGGTACATTTTTTTGTAACCGTATACATGCATTGGGTAGCCACTGAGAATAAGTTGCAAAGCACTGCAATGCACAAATATAGCACATATATCCCGTTATCACATACACTGTGGTGTCAACAAACCCTTTGGACAGCATGGGCAGCATATTGTCTATTAACATTCTTTTCGTTCTACTAATGTATGTTCTCATTGCACACCACCTTGTGGTTTTTGCACTTATTGCAAGTGTCTTCTTTCCTTTTTTCCCCATTGAAGAAACGCATACATAAGTTGAATGCTCCACAGCAATCTGAGAATAATCATTTGCAGTGTTGTGCAAGCAAAAACTCAAAACTGGAATGGAATATGATTCAACCATTTGTGATCAGAGCATTTTTTTCAAGACTATATGCCCAGACCATGTTTAGCAGTTGGTAATGTGTCTGATTGACACTGGGTCTAAGAACTAGGAACACACACAGTGCTAGTTCACTGCTGCAAGGTTATTAATGTTCTCATGGCAAGGGGCATTTATATTTGGACTTATGAAGTTGTAATGTGGTCACAAAGGGGTTAAAGTGCAGGTTGAATAACATCTTCTATGAATTTCTAACCCAATTTAGATCATCAGGTTGCTCTAAACCAAGAAAGGATTAGAATTGTGGATGGCAAATTGGTACGAACTGTTTAAAAGCATACAAATCTGTTTTTCAATCAAAATGTAGGGAAACAGTCCACGTTTCCAGAGAACTGCCATCATTACAAATGTTGGAACACAGGGAGTCTCAAGAAATTCTGTACAATTTTTACATTTGTATAACTATAGCAAGTAATACATGGACACCTCCCTATGTGTATTGATGGTGTTTTTAAGATACCACAGATAACCTAATGTGTATAAGATAGAACAAATGATTACATTTGTATCTGTATGCATATGAAATGTTCACCAACAAGGCTGGACAAATGAATGCAGTATTTGGCATTTAGTCCAATCTAGGACACTGTATGCATTTTTACAGAGCCAGAGATCATGTACAACAATAGAAAACGTGTAACGGAGAAGTGCAGAGTAATTAAAATACACTCTTCCCAAGGCTGAGAGCCGGCGTGTGGCACTGCGGCTGTCTTAAGCGGGCTCCATACTAGGAATTGAGCGATCATGTAACCGCTGATCGCTCAGCTCCCAATCTTTTCTCCCTGCAGAGAGCGATGACTGTCAGTCACTGCCCCCCGCAGGGACTGCCCCTCCCCACTCTGTTCCTTCACCACTCACTGGGACAGACAGGGGAGGGGACAGCCATGGCTGGTTCTGGCTCTAGAGAGGCAGAACAAGCTGTCAATCAGGCAGCAGGGTGGGTCTCGACAATATTGCCAGGATCAGTCCCAGCTGCAGAGCCAGCTGTCGAGATAGATCTATAAATTATTGTCAGCTCCACCCTGCTAGCTGATAGCGGGCATTAGCACACTATTGGCTGGCTTTGGGTCCCAGGAGTACAGTAGTAAATGTACTCCCGGGACCCAAAGGAAAAGTAGAGCCCATAAAAACAAACAAAGGTTTGGTTTTTCTTCTCTTTTAAAAATGGACCCTGCAGTAAAATGCAAAGCCCACGTACACTATTGGATCCGGAGCCCCTTCCCCTGTAAACATTGCTGCATTATCAGAAATTCACAAATGTACCTGTATGCAAACAAATTAGATTGTACACTTAGCTTACCCTCGTCTTTTGCCTACAGCCCCTACGTAAGGGTGACATCACACTCCTTTCAGGGAGATCCTTGGGTACGCAGAGCAGTCCAAATTGCGTGAAAAGACACTCTTGCACTGAACTGGAATGTCTTCTGACGAGATTTGGGGTATACATTGCTCCCAAGGAACCCTGCCAGAAGGATAGCGGCATCATGCAACAAGTAAGACAGACATAATGTAAGTGCATAACACGCCTTTTTTTCTTACAGGAACGTTTTTGAAGTACTATCATGCAGAGATTTTTACAGGGGGGAGACCTGGATCTAATAAGTGAACTTCACATTTTACTTCAAGATCTGCTTTAACATTAGACTCATCATAAGATAAATTCACCTTATCCTACGGATTATGGTAGCTAGGCGCAGTGGGAACAGGAGGGGTGGGGAGGGTGTTGTCAGTTAGTTCACCTTTTCACAAAAAAAAGGTGAAAAAACGTATCATTTATAAGGTTGTCTGGATACTGGGATTCGTCCATCTATTTAATATATATGTATTGTTTTTTTGTCTATCACCTAGAATTCTGACCAGCCCTGGACAACTAGTGTCCATACAAATGAGGTAACGTAAAATAACAAATGTATCACCAGAAGCTGCTTTTGCATTAGTGTAAGTAAAAGATAATGCATCAATATGTAAGCATTCATAGAGCAGTAGTTACTTCGATAACTAAGGAGAAAACAGGGACAGGCATCTCTAGCACAGCCTGGTTAGAGTGCTCATACCTGTCATGCAGAAACAAGACTGGATTTCTCCAGCAAGAAGCGGTTCCAGCCACTGTTTCTTCTGCTCCTCAGTACCGTACAGGTGAATCACCTCCATGTTGCCTGTATCTGTAGAGGAGAAATGTATTTATTTTAAATACTTACATTCTGAAAACATTGCAGGAACAAATTATGAATATTAGCATAAAAAAGTATTACAACTTTATTGACATCAACCATTATTTTAGTGTTGCCCGCCCCATGCATTGAGTGAGCTCATACAGCTGTAACACTACTCATGATATATTAATTTGCCTAGCACTGCAGCAGACTCACATAAAGGCACTACAGAAAAGGCAGTAAACATACACATGGATAAAAGAAACTAGTTTTATTGGTGATCACTCAATACACACTGCATATCTGCTTCTTACTGCAAGTGACAAGTCTCTAAAATACGTTGTATTGCAATGTTCTAATAGAGAAATAAGTCACTTTGCATGTATACTGACAAAGATATTATGGACACCTAGAGCACTCAGTTAGAGCACCACTTTAACTTATATCAACTTTTTGCAAACTTCAGTTTAACTTTAACTGATTTCACAATATATTTAATACATATTTTAATGAGTAGTTAACACCTAGAAACGCATAGAATACACTATTAATGATTATAGCAATAAATATCAGTTGTTTATCCTAATAAAAGTAGAAACTGCTATTCAGATGCTCTTGTGTCCACGTCATTTTCTTTAGCATCATGCTATATGGGTGCACCTTAACCTTTTTCTTCATAGGATAAGTGCGGTATCAAATTTAATTCCGTCTACGACAATACTGTGTACAGTTTTCATAGCGGCCTGTTTTTATGTACATAGTGATGCAATTTCACCTATGGCATATATAATCCTCTTTTATCCTTTATCTGTATTTGCATGATAAGCAACAAGGACTGCTTTGCTGGAACTATTGTGCAGAACCATTTGCCTTTTATACTAATTTCAAGATAACTTGTACTGTGAGCCAGTTTCAGAATAGGCTTGCCTCATTAAGTCTTGGAAATGCTATCGGTTCAAACTCTATACAAACTCTGATTTTCTATGGTCAGATGGAAAAAGTGCAACAGACTCCTCCATCTACGCTAAACTGTGTGTATGGAGGAATCTCCCACTGGGCCAAGTCTCAGTATCTTGCTAGTCAGCACCGCTGGCTCTCAAAATACCTGAACAATGCCTGCATGCAATCAGATTGTTCAGGTATTTTGACAGCCAGTGGGGCCGGCTAGCAAGATACTGAAGCTTGGCCCAGTGGGAGATTCCTCCATCCACAGTTTAATGTAGATGGAGGAATCTGTTGCATTGTTTCCATCTGACCATAGAATATCTGCAGATAATCTATAGGTGTACGGCCAGCTTAAGACACATAACAAGCCAGGGACTAACCCAGTCTATTAGGCTATGACTAAAACTTAGGAATCATTGTTGGGTAGATTTGCCCTTTAATAGCTACTAGAACTAATGCTAATGTTAAGTAGCTGCCATTTCCTATTAAGAATGTGTTTGAAGATAACGCATTTCAGATTTTCAATATGCTGCCGTATTAAATCAGAGCTTTGAAAATAACGATATTTATCCCAAAAAAGTATAAGACTGCTACTGAAAAAAATATAGAAACATGGTCAATAAGTAAGCAAGTTAAAAAAGAGCAAATCTGGCATATCATTCCAAGAGTTCTACAATGTTTTGTCTTAGTTAACATTTGTAGCCGCTAAAACTCGTGTTATACCAAAGTGTTGGAAAACAGAAGTTTGTACACATGTCGTTGGTTTTGCCATATAAGCTGTTTCCTGCCTTGTGCTGCATGTTAATCTACATCCTCCTTTTGACAGCTACCAGCCACTGCGTTGCATGGCTGCTGGCTGTCAAACCCAGCTGTCTCTGACAGCTTCAGTCTAGACTAAGGGCAGGTTCACACCATTTTCTGGACCAGATCTGGTCTGAAAATAGTGTGAACCTGCCACAGTTCCAGTTCATTCCAGACCAGACAAAATGAGACATGCAGTATTTTCCTTGTCTGGAACGGACTGCACTGGTTTAAACAGAGGCCAGAAATAGCATAGGGATACATTAGGATGCATTTTGGGTCTGGAAACCATCTGGTCTGGTCTGGTCTGGAGATGATCTGGATGTGGTGTGAATGGGCCCTAAAGATCCAGAACAAATTAGAGTGTTTTCCAATCATGTGATCACTATGTCAAAATGAAATAGGGTTCACACACAATCTAAAGGATTCATTCAGAACAAAATGGTTTCAGCTTGAAGTATCCACATTAGCATAATGTATGTCACACTTTTTCATATTTTATACAAATATAAAAAGTATAAAGATGTGATCTAGCAATCTAAAGCTTGTAATATATGCTCTACATTTGAGTACTGCTATAATATATACCTGGTGCTTGACAGTTAAAAACTTCCGGGGCAAAGAAGCATTTTCCGGTTTCCTCGGCAATAAAGGCATAGTCAGTCTGGCTTAGACCACTAATAGATGGAAGAAACAGGTTCCACAAGCCTTCAGCTTTAGCCAATTCCTAGAAGCAGGTTAAAAACAATTCTTATTGAGTACAGGTGTCTGTCATGAAGATCTGTGCTGCATAACTCTACAATATGAAATACTAGCTAGTGATGTACCTTGAGCTTTTCTAAGACATCTGGCTTCTTCCATCTCAGAGGAGAGTTTTCATTTTTAATATAATACGCCACAAACTCCTAAAATAGAAAAATAAATTCAGTTTGCTAAATAAAATGAAAAAGAAATCCATACATTCTTCTTATGGGTTAAGCCAACACAATACAAAGCCCAAGGTCCAAAAGTTTTTTGACACCTGACCATCACATCTACATTATATGGTCAAATATGTGCTGACCCCTCCAGGTTATTGATTTCAGGTGTCTCCAGTGAAGGGTACTTTTAATGCTGCAGCATAAAAACTTTTTAGACAATCGTGCAATTCCAACTTTGTGGCAACAGTTTGGGAAGACCCTGTTTCAGCATGGTTATGCCAGCTCCATAAATGGATGTTTTAATACATTTGGAGAGGTCTATACAGAGCCCTAACCCCAACTCTACTGAACACTTCAGGGATCAATTGGAATGCGGTACGTGTATCAGGTCCTCTTGTCCAACATCAGAACCTGCACAGACACACTCCAAAACTGCATGGAAAGCCTTCCTAGTAGAGTGGAGGCTGTTAAAGCCGCAAAGGAGAGGTCAACCTTTGGATTTAGGATTCAGATGTCCCGCAAACTCACATACAGTGATGGAGAGCCGTCCGCTAACTTTTGGGCACATAGTGTACCTACTACAGTTGTCTTTAATGAACAAGGGAGAGACACTAACCATCCTTTAAAGGATTGTACCATACTCAAGTCATATTTCAGGTACTGCAACCCCCATAAAGGCTGAAGCAGCCACTGGCTTCTTATATCTAAACAGGTCTTTAAATAAGAGATACTTTCTCATTTCTATGGCTGTAATTGTAGATTTGTCACTCCGATTGCTGCATTCTTTGTAATGGAATATATATATATATATAACAAATAAATAATCAAGCAAATTGAGAGTCCCTGATAATAAGCATACCAGCATTGATGACAAATAAAGAGTAAGTCCACCAAAAAACAGTAGAAAGTATAAATAGAAATGTACAGTACCTAACAACAGCCAATCAAAAAACATCTCTCATTACAACGACTACACTGTGATGCTATAAGCTGATGTATGATTGGAAGCTAGAGTGACTACATTCTACTGTACTACATGTGTTTTTCATAAGAAATACTGTATGTGCATGCAGTTCATTTGGAGCCAAGGTTTGTTGTTATCTTCAGCAGTATCCCTGCCTATGATAAGCTAAAGAAAATGTTGCTGATGATAACTAAATACTGTAATGCGTTCAGCAATTAGGAGGAATCTCAGCCGCGGAGGCTAATACTATCAGTACGGGGATAGGGTACGGTGTCAGGGTCGAGCTCCAGGCGTCACTCTCAGAGTCTCAGGCGGAGAGTTTGGAGCTCTACCATCATGTGCCGTGAAATTAAGTAGGAGGTAAGGATTTTAGCACTCTAGCAAACTTATGCAATATTGTGAGCAGAGATAGCAAAACAGTCTTATGCAGCAAGGTTTAGATGGAAACAACCTGCACTTCCCCTTTAAGGTTTTAGATAAGCAGCAAAACTCTATCGTACAATATGAATAACCACAGTAGAGATGTGCAGGGATCTCTTTAGCAGATACTGCATGTGATACTTGCTGTTTGTGGTACAACACTGGTGGGATCCTTTCAGTCAGCGGTTCTCGGTCCAGCAGCAGGGAGCAGGCTGTCAGCTGGCGTTCACAAGTGAATAATAGAACACCATACTGACCCTGCTTCCTGCTATTTATGAGGATTCAAAGGGGAGGAGCTGGTGACGTATTCCCGCCCGATGCGTTCCACGTGGGAACGCATTGGCGATGTTACTTCCGGGTTTCGGGTTGCGTTCCACCGTGGAACGCAAGCCGCGATTGTACAGTCAGCGATCCTTACAAATACAATATAGTTTACTATGTATATACGGGTAAAAGAGTCACAGTACTAAGACCGTATTCCTACCGCTGCACTACCGAAGAACAAAAAGATAATATACTGTATTGCAGCTTTCCAGTCCGTAGATTTGGTGGCTGCATTCGTTTTCTTTTTTCATGCCAAGACCATTTTCAGCAAGTAAAGAATACCTGCTGCAAAAAATACAAATGCAGTGCGATTGTCCTTTCCTGTGAGATGAACTGGAAGCATAAAACAATCTTATCCTTCTTTTGTGAACTACTAACCCTCCCACACTCCAGGTAATGACCACTATGGCTTCCTTTGTACATACAGCATCTGTTACCTGTATAAGTAGCACACTTACACAGTCTTGCCCTGTCCTTCTAAAAGGAACATTTGTTAATAATGTGTATCTAAAGTCTTTTTTTTTTGGATACAGAAATTAGGAATTAGAACTACAATCATGTTTTTATTGATGTCCATGTCCCTGTTGGTGAGAGTTAGCCTCTCTATCAGTCCTGGTGTGATTAAATGATGGTAAATCCAAAATTAGGAGTTGTGACCAGAACAGGAAGAGAGGGGAAATCTTCCAAAAGGAACACCTATTCCAGGGGCAACAGTCAATATTATCTGTATGAATGGTTTATGGTACTGCCAGTGCCTGCAGTGATAAATATCTTTCCAAGTCACAGGTTCTTTACTAATTAGCATGAATGAGACAAGCAAAATAAAATGGCTTCTCGGGTGCCGCATCTACCTCTTGTGCTGGAAAAATGTGTTGTTTCATAAACTGTTTCACTTGCTGTAGAACCCTCTGCCCTTTGGTGCTTAGCAAGAACAGTTCACCAGGAGATCCGGATAGCTCCACCATCGTGTTCTCTCTAAAATGAAAACAATAGTCAACATCAACAAAATGTATACTGTTGTTTAAATAAACCCAATCAGAAAATGCTAAAAGATAATTCCCTGGATGAAACCCAGAAAGATCACTGATACTATCATTAAAGTGATATTAAAGTCAAAATATTTTTAAGCTATTTCAAATTAATTCACTTACTAGGTTTCTGGATGACCACTCACCTGACTGAGTCAATGGTGTCTACGAGCACTGGGTGGTCCCTGGAGTTCAGGGCTGCAGCTACCTTTCCCCGAAGGTTTCCCTGTGTGGACAGTTTTTGTGGATTTCTCCGTATGTTGTTAGTTAATTTACGTTATTTTATTTTTTCCCCCTTTTTTGTTGTTGTTTGGTTGTCTGCTGTTTGTTTTTTTACCCTTTTTTTTTTTGTGTGTATTTAATTTTTCTTTAAATGTTGGTTGTGCCCTGTTTTTCTTTGCACTGACTCTTTGTTTGTATAAAAGTTGTTTAATTAATAAAAAAACTATCTGATTTAAAAAAAGAATCAGCTGGCCCCCCGAGCACCGGCCCTGATATCCAGTTTTAGGGGGGCTGCTTACCCTTGCAGGGTCCTATGGAGACATCCCTGTATGTGCTAGTAAGCTGTGTATGTCTCCACAAACACACAGGCACAGCAAGGCAAGCCACTTCCCTTGCCCTAGCTCCTCCCTACTCCTTCCTTCTCCATGCTAGCAGATCAGGGGTGGGCAAACTCTGGCCCTCCGGCTGTTGTGGATCTACAAATCCCATGAGGCTTTGCAAGATTCTCACAGAGACAGTCATGACTCCCAGAGACAGATGCATCATGGCATTTGTAGTTTCACCACAGCTGAAGGGCGGAGTTTGCCCAGTCCTGTAGTAGATGGACAGTTGCAGGAGACTGCTCTGTCCCTTGTAATTTTGTACTGGACAGGAAATTCAGGGAAGTTGAGCTGAGAGAGTTGGAGCTGTTCAGAAACATGAAAATGTACAGAAATACTTTGTTGGGCAATGTATATTTGTTTAAATTGGAATAATCATTGAAAAAGAGCATTTAATAGTACTTTAATATTTGTGATAATAACAGTATATACATTCAGGGGCGATAGCACTAATATTATAACAAACGTACTCATAATTGTCACCAGGGATGACAAACTTGACAACGAACTAATCGATAATGAGAATAGTTGGCAACTATTCTCATTATCGATTATTATCCATTAATCGATTAGTTGGCTGCAGCCATAAAATCAAGCAAACATTGCTTATCGGGTTAAACTGGTGGATTCTACAAATCTAATCATTTTCTGTAAATATTTTAAATGGCCTTATTAAGGGGTGTATTTATAAACCATTCACAGAGCAATTCCACCCGCAAAACTCTGTGAATGTTCATCTAGTGCGAATGGAGGCAAAAACAAACAAACATTCTTATTATAATTTGAACGTAATGTTAGGAAATATTATTATTATGGCCACCAGATGAAGCTGGAGCATAGGAAAGAAGCATTTATTTCCTATAATCTTCAGCTTCTATCTCCCCTCTTCCCCAAATAGTTTGCTCTGTGCCATGGCCACCAATAATTTCTATACCCTGTACACCCCTAAGCACTTATTACAAATTGAAGCAGACCCTCACTCCTGAGGGGCGCTTAGGCTCACTGCAATCCGCCCGCAAAAAAAAAAAATCTTTTGTCCAGCCTGCCCTCTGCCTCGATTCTTGCCGGGGCAAAAAGATGTGTCCCTGCTCCCGCAGCATCCTTGGATATCCCATCACATATCCAAAGAGGCTGCAGGAGCAGGTACTTGCAGTATCTGAGTGACGGACCTGGTTGCATGCCGGCTGCGGAACTCGGAAGAGGCAGTCACCTCTTAATGATGTCAGAAAACAAGCTAGTGGCATGG